AATCACTCCTCAGAGGGGTGGCCACACCATAATCCTTTCTCCTTTATTCTCTTTTTGGGGTTTTGGGTATGCATGCACAGGCACCAGGCATAATTTTCAAGCTGCTGGGTCTGGGACTCAAACGACAGTCGACCATGTGGGGATCCAGTGCCTTAACCACCGTGCTACTTGCTGGCCCACTATAAGGTATTTTAATGGGAATTAGACAACTTCTGTACATGATTTCTTATGAAAAGATATACGACCTATTGAAATATGAAAAGTATTAAGTGCTATAAAATGTTCACAGGATATAAAGTATCTAATGATAGTTTCAAACTTTTTTAAATCATAAGAGCTTTACTTCTGATTGTTTCTTCTTCATCTAATCATAAGGATCAAGTTAATTATCCAATCCTATAATCAAAAATTTCATATGCTATTCAAAAATACATAGGTACAAATATTTGACATAGATTTTAAAATTTTTTCTTAGAAATAAATACCTTTTCTTTCTCATGTTTAAAGTTTTCTACAGGAGCTAGAATATCAGATGTAAATTTTAAAAGAGTAATTAATTTTGAAGGATTAATCAAAAACAATAGTTAATGTATCAGTTATACAGGCTTTTCTGCATAAGCAGTGTGAATTAATGATATAAAAGAAAATTAGAGCTCTTCACAAGTAGAGCCATACTAATAATGATATCAAAGGTTTTGAAAGTTAGCTGTAAATAGTGATTTCTGACCTTCATGGTACATTAGCAGCACCTGAGGCACCAAGGGTAACTTTTTACTTGGATCCTCCCTCCACAGATTCTGATAAGCGGCCTTTGTCCGGGCCCAACTGTGGTATTGCATAAAGTTCCCAAGTGTTTCTAATCTGCTGCCAAAGATGAGAAACACTGATCTAGTAACTTAGGGTTGGACTGCTTCCGCAAGTCATCTGCAGGATGGCTAAAAACCCAAATGTTTTGCTTTTCTCCAAGTTATATTCTCTCCTGACAAACAGGTGTGTCATGTCTTCTAATTAAACAGCATAGTTTGCTGAAAACCAGCAAATACTGTTGTACTTGGGCATCGACCACATCACACAGCCCTCGATTTCTCCCGGTGCGCTCACTGTTTTATATTCAGGTAATGAACTGCCATTAGTTGGAGTAGAAGAGCCTTGCTTGGTCTCAGAGCTGTTTTATTACTGCCCATCTTGCTGGGTTCCTATCATGAACAGTATCATCGACCTTCTGAGTTATAATGAGAAACACTAACAAAGCTACACAGATGGTAATTATGGAGTAGCCATGACCCTTACCTGATAGGGGTTTTGGAACTCTGTGGCAATAACTGTATAAGGTATTACAGTGCTGGAAATTCTACTTAATAAAATTAGACACAAAGATTGCTGCAATTATCCTATCATAATGCAACCAAATGCTTAAGAATGTTAAGTGATGCATTTTTAATGATCAGTCCAGAGTGCCTATCTACTTATCTGCTTACTAATAAAGTACTAATACATTTTAATTTAAATACATGTGCTGAAATTCTTTTTACAGTTGATCCTCATTTCTATAAATAAAAGTGTATAATAAAGGACAAAAAATAAGTTATATTTAACTATAAGAATGACTCAAATAATTTAGACTTTTGCTTAAAAAATAAGAAAATAAGGGATTGGCAGGTGGCGTGGTGGTTAAGGGCACTGGACTTCCATATGGCTGACATCAGTTCGTATCCCAGATCTGGTGGCTTGTTTTCTCACTTTCTCTCCCTCTCTCACTCTGTTCTTTTCTTGTCAAATTAAAATAAATAAGTAAATAAAGTAATTCTTTAAAAAATAAAAAAATAAGAAACATAATAAAATGAAATTATGATTCCTTAAAAACATGCTCTATTTTCTTTCTTTCTTTCTTTCTTTTTTAGAGATTTTTACAATAGGGCACATGAGCTCACTGGACAGACAGAGAGATGGAAAGTGAGAAATCACACCCCAGAGGGGATGGTCAGGCTGCACTACAATCCCTTTTCCTCCACTTTTCTCTTGGGATTTTGGGCACACATGCAAATGTGCCAGCATGAGTTTTAAGCCTTCTGGTCTGAGATTTGAACTGTGGTCGACTACTTGGGAGTCCAGCCACTTAACTGCTATGCCATCTATTGGTTCTCTCTCTTTTGAGAGAGAATGGTAGAAGTAATAATCCCAATGACTGAGAACAGTATCTCCCACATAGTAGGTAGGTAAAGAGGAAATGAATTAATAAAAGTGGAGGACGTTGCACAGTGTCCACTATATAATAAATGGTTAACAACATTAGGTAATTTATCTTTTGTTGTTATTGCTGAAGATGATTTTAATAATCTAAATAAAAGCCTGGAATGTCCTTTCCTTAATTTTGGTTTCCCATATACATAGCCTTACTTTGGGTTTCAAAGTCACTTGGAGATTCTTCATATCCAAGAGGCTGACTCTGAAACCTACCCTTCTGAACCCAACTTCCTATTCCTTATTCTTTTCTGTTTCCATGGGAAGTCACTTTTCATCCTTCATTGGTGATTAAATCCATATTCCTACATTAACAATCTCTTTAAGACTGTCTTCTTCAATGCAAAACTAGCTTAGTACTCTCTGTTCCCTTGCTTTGCCTGACCCAATTCTATTTTTGTCAATGCACCTCAATGCCTGGGTGCACTTACCCTTCACTTGGTCCACTTCTGCTACTAAGACCCGTGGGAGCATTGAAAAAGTAAGAGCATGAGGCCACCTGGTTATACTACAAGTCCACATTATTGATTCTCTGCTCACTTCAAAAAAGGCTAACAATCCTTTTATCTATGTTTATTTGTTCTCCTGTCTTACTTTCAACAGAACTTTTTCCAAAGGTTTTGGATTCTTCTCTAGCACCTGAGGATTAAGGAAATGTATGGAACCTAAATTTGAATCATGAAATCTAAATCTCCTCAACTTTTAGCTCAACGTGTTAGTGCATTTTTGTCATGGCCCCCTCTCTAGTGTCTCACAGAGAGAATATCTCCTTCCTCTACTGTGGGCTGATATTCATGTGTGTGCCCTCAGCTGGCTCTCCCCGTCTACTCATTAAGCCACTATTACATTTATGTTTTGTGCCTTTGATTTCTAGATGGTCCCCTTGAGCTTATAGACCTGCTCATTTAATTTCTATCTTAAACTCAAATATATCATCACTCCATCTTACTAATTAAATGTAGGAACATACATTTCTTATCCCCTTTACTGGCAGCCTTATTGAAAGGATACTTTCTTTGTGCTCCCTAAACTCCTTTTGACCTTTTAACTAGAAGCTGGGTTCTGCTCTCCCCTCTGCAATAACTTCTGAAAGGTCCCTGTTGATTCTGATTTCAGTAGCTTTCCTTAACTTCTTCCTCTAGAAGTATTTAATACAATTCATCAGTGTTCCTGCTTGAATATATATTTTTTCACCTCCAGCTCCTATTGCTATTGTTCTATAGAGGATTTTCCTCTTACAAATCCATTCATTTTACACTCCTTATTGATTTTTCCCTTCTGCTTCCTTCCCCTAGGTGACCCTCAGGACTACAGCACGTTTCCAGTCTCACAAGTATCACATGAGGACAATATGCCACTATGTTATTGCTTTGTGGATATATACTCTCAGTAAGTTCTTCTCTTTCTGAAATGCAGTCCACCCACCTCTCTTGGCACTTTTGTTCTTTCTACGCTCTTGATCTATGCAAAATTTTATTTCTATGTTCTTCCGCCAAAGAACTTGGCATATGCCTTTAATGACCACTACTGTGAGGCTGACTCCTAGTATGTGTTCTCTAATTTATTCCCTCTGCAGTGGTTGTGCCTTTCTAATTACACACTAGGTGTTTCCTTAAAAAAAAAAAAAAAATCCTTTGACTGCTTAGCGTATACAAGATAAAACTGAGAATGTTCTACCCCTTCTACGTCTGCTTCCCTATCAACGTCCTCCATTTCCATCCAGGCTCTTAATATAAAATGACAAAACCACCTTTCAGGATCTTCCTTTCATGTGTCTCATTCAATTGTTTCCCAGAGCCTTCCTTTTCCTTTGTTTGTTGTTTTTTGTTTTCCTGCACTACTTCTTACCTCTCTTTTCATGGTTACTATGCAATGTTGGTTCTCTTATCACTGTTTACTAACAGGGTCTTCTTGCCTCTAGATTCTTGCACAACCAAAATTTCTTCCACAACTGCTAGCCAAACTGATTTACTTCCTTTAAACCAGTGTTTCTCTAAAAATCTTTAACAGATGTTAAAAAACCTATTTTACAGAATAAAAGTCAGCTTCTTATCCTGGCATCAGTGATCTGGCATCACCCAATGGGCTTCTCTCACTTTTTTTTATTTTTAAGGTTTATGAAATAAGGTATGTATGTTTGCTGGAGAGACAGTGAGAGGGAAAGTGAAAAAATCAGTGCACAGAGGGATGGCCATGCTGTAATCCCTTCTCTCACATTCTGTTGAGATTTGGGCCATGCACACACACCTGACACAATTTTCATACCGCCAGATCTAGGATTTGAACCATGGGAGAGTCCAGCACCTTACCCACCAATGCCATCTACTGACCCCTACTATCTCTTTTCCCTGTTCTCCTATATTTAAATTTAGATGTTAGTGGTAAATGCTTTAAACCTTCACACCTGGCACATTTTCTCACAACCACTAGTCTCCTGGATTTGCCTTTGCAAGTTCCCCTTACCTATTAAAACTTGCTTATTCTTTTTTTTTTTTTTTTAGAAGTTTTTGCTATAGGGCGTGTGTGCTCGCCAGACAGAGAGAGACAGAGAGACAGAAAGCGAGAAATCACCCCCCAGAGGGGATGGCCACGCCGCGATTCCGTCTCCTCCATTTTCCTCTCAGGATCTTGGGCACGCATGCACACATGCCCGGCGTGAGTTTAAGCCACTGGGTCTGGGACTCAAACCGCGGTCGACTACGTGGGAGTCCTGCGACATAGCCCTTACACTAACTGCTGGTCCCAAAACTTGCTTATTCTTAAACCAGTACAAATGTGACATTCCACACAGCCTGTTTCTCACACAAACCTCCTCCTTCCAACCTGAAGATAATTTTCCTCTTCCACTTTCTTCTATAACTTTCAGTCTCCGTCTCTCTCAAGAGAACTGGTCACTTCTTATTGAGTATTATGTTAATTTTTCTATACATGTTATCATCTCTATTATAGTAAATACATTGGCTTAATATTTGAGACTATTAATAAATATTGCCTGAACAATTACTATAAACTATATATTCCCACAGAGCTATGCAGTCGGTACTTGGGATCTAGCTGCTTTAACCACACCACCACTAGTTGGCACACAATTCCAAGACTTTTCAAGACCTTATCATATAACAAGAATTGTAGGGATTTAGTTCCATTGTATTTTAGAATTTAAGATATAAAGCTTTGCAACAATGCACAGTAGAAAAGGACTTCAAAAAGTAAATATGCAATGTGGAAAAATACTGTGTATCTCAATAGAAGTTGGTAAATCAACAGAAATTGTGATAAAATACATTTGATCATTCGGTTATGCTAAAATACAAAGCCTGCATTTTCACTAAGAAGATAATATATCCTGTCTGAAAGCAGAGAGAGTAGGAGGCTTTAAGAGACAGCTATATTTGGTTTTTAGAAGTCTGGACTTGGTAGCTAGATTGATTGGATTTAGAACCCAATTACAAATGTGGAACCTACAACAAATCATTTAATTTCTGTGCCTCAATTTTATCATCTATAAAATGTGGATTATATGAATTAATATATGTAACACTTTTGGAATAGTAACACCAGAAAATACTATAATTTTTAGATATTATGTTTATTAAGGAAGAGGAAAACATCTATTTCCTAAGTTTATAACTAGCTTTATTGTGCACTACGGGGGAGTCCTGCGACATAGCCCTTACACTAACTGCTGGTCCCAAAACTTGCTTATTCTTAAACCAGTACAAATGTGACATTCCACACAGCCTGTTTCTCACACAAACCTCCTCCTTCCAACCTGAAGATAATTTTCCTCTTCCACTTTCTTCTATAACTTTCAGTCTCCGTCTCTCTCAAGAGAACTGGTCACTTCTTATTGAGTATTATGTTAATTTTTCTATACATGTTATCATCTCTATTATAGTAAATACATTGGCTTAATATTTGAGACTATTAATAAATATTGCCTGAACAATTACTATAAACTATATATTCCCACAGAGCTATGCAGTCGGTACTTGGGATCTAGCTGCTTTAACCACACCACCACTAGTTGGCACACAATTCCAAGACTTTTCAAGACCTTATCATATAACAAGAATTGTAGGGATTTAGTTCCATTGTATTTTAGAATTTAAGATATAAAGCTTTGCAACAATGCACAGTAGAAAAGGACTTCAAAAAGTAAATATGCAATGTGGAAAAATACTGTGTATCTCAATAGAAGTTGGTAAATCAACAGAAATTGTGATAAAATACATTTGATCATTCGGTTATGCTAAAATACAAAGCCTGCATTTTCACTAAGAAGATAATATATCCTGTCTGAAAGCAGAGAGAGTAGGAGGCTTTAAGAGACAGCTATATTTGGTTTTTAGAAGTCTGGACTTGGTAGCTAGATTGATTGGATTTAGAACCCAATTACAAATGTGGAACCTACAACAAATCATTTAATTTCTGTGCCTCAATTTTATCATCTATAAAATGTGGATTATATGAATTAATATATGTAACACTTTTGGAATAGTAACACCAGAAAATACTATAATTTTTAGATATTATGTTTATTAAGGAAGAGGAAAACATCTATTTCCTAAGTTTATAACTAGCTTTATTTTTAATGTTTTCAGAACCCTATTAATTTTTTAGATAGAATTATAACTTTTATAGCACTAAAATTCCTGTAGATCTAGGAATTTTTAGTTGTTGTAAGTTTCAGTCATTTGTTGAAGGACCCCCAATTAGTTACTGGCTGAGATGAGAAAATGATCTATCTATTTATCTAATAGTCCTCTCTAAAATGATCCACATATCTTATACAACGAGGTATTTGAAGTTGTTATGCAAACTTGTTCTTTCCTTGATATTAAATTTCAAATTTATGTACCATATTTTCCCATAAATTGTATCACTACTCTTTAGAAACAATTTCTTTCTTTCAAAGTTATTTAAATATCATTTTATATATATTTTTTTCTTTGCTATATCAAGATTCTAGTCAATCTTACTAAACAAATAACCAAGATCTCTGGTAAAAAATTCCAAAGAAAGTTTGAGAGACTATAGTTCAGGTCTAGGTTGCTATTTGTAATCATCAAATAATACAGTACTAAACTGTTAGCGTTTAGAACTATACTAACATTTTCATTTATTATTAATTATAATAAAGAAAATTACTAAAATGAGCAGTTTATTTTTTACATAAATGGCATGAATAATTGAAATCTTCATACATTTTTGATCTTATAGATACAAAGCCTTCACTTGGTTAACCATTTGATAGTTTTAAAAAACAATGAAAAATTCAGTAATCTGAATTTCTCTACTTCTTTCCTTATTCTGTCCACCATAGCAAATATAGAAAACTATTCTGGGGCTGGCAGGTGGCGTGGTGGTTAAGGTTACTGGACTCCCACATGGCTGATTATAGTTTGAGTCCCAGACCTGACGGCTTGCTTTTTCACTTTCCTCTCTCTCTCTCTTTCTCTCTGCCCCTAACTGTTCAAATTTAAATAAATAAATAAATAAAGATAAATAAAATGATTCTTTAAAAAATAAAGAAAGTTATTCTATTAGCATGATGAATAATTAACTGCTGAATGTGATTAAAGATTTTTCCAGCTAAAAATCTAGAAGTTTGGTGGAATATTGCACACACACCAATCATTTGAGCGTGCAGGTCTCTAGAGAAGTTTTTACTTTATGAGTCTATGCTGGCTTAGACTGAGCCAGAAAGCTTACTCAAATCCTGCAGAGTCTATGAAACCCAAACAATTTAAATGCTATTTTTAAAGGATCAGAAAAAATATATATAGTTCTGCTAAATACAAGCAAATGACTTCCTTTGTTGCCAAAGAACCCATTTACAGACAAGTATGGGAATCAAATATCTTAACCTGTGTTTAAAGGCCTGTATTTCCAATAAAGAAGTAGTGTATTTTTCCTTTTCCTTAATTTTTTTTTTATAATCCTTATAATCAGATAAAATTCTAAGCTTCCAAAAGGATGTACAGCAGTTGGTGCAGATTTTAATCTTTCCTTTTACATTTTATGCTTATAAGGGGTCAAAATAAAGAAGGGGGTTAGCTGGAATCAGATGTTTTAAAAATATTTTGGTTACTGCGATAAAAATAAATTGATATGTAAATGTGATATTCAATTTATTACACTGAAAATACTTTTTTCCTTTTTTTATTTATTTTATTTTTTGTATATACTTTCAATCATATTGTTTGGCTTACAATGAGACCATTTCGATATGTGCACATTTCTCCCCAGACCCCTTGATCAAAATGTCTTCAGCAGATAACACCACCCCTCCCCATCCTGTCACTACCCCTGTTTTGTCTCTTCTCAATAGACGCTAAGGAATTCTTGCAAATTATCTCCTAAACCACTGGGAGTAATAAATTATGTGTGTTTTTCTCTCCAAAAAACAGACATTCAAAAATTCTGTCTGAGGTCGGAATTTTTTACTTCTCTCAAAATTAACATATATTCAATTTTAACATGAGTAAACAAGAAAATTGAAGGGTTGAAAATTTTAAAGCTCAACTTTTTTCTCTCTTTTCCCCAATTCTTTATTCTAGAAGCTTACAATAACAAGTTTCCTTGTGCTGTTGGTTTAATATCCCTTATTACATAGACACTTCTTAAAGGCTTTGATATCATCTATTTCTGCTCCTTTCCTGTGGTTTAAAAGCGTATTTTAGTTGGATTGACAAAAGTCTAATATAAAACAAAATCTGGTAGGCAAAAAATTAATAAACAAATTATTAACTATAAGAAACTGTCTTATTGGATTTTGCATAATAATATACATGTTTTTCATTCATTCCAGTGATGAGTTTTGGGGGGAGGGAATCAAATGGCCAAGAGGTAGCAAGAATATTAGAAAATATATTTCTTATTTTTCAATTGGATAATTATGAAGAGACCACATTAAATGCAAAAACTGTAAATAAATAATTGGTTAAAAAATTATAAACAATCTTAATGCCACCTCTGAAAAATACAGGAAAAGAACT